GTTTGGCTCAGATTCCTAAAAAGGTACAATATAAAACCTTAGAAATCTTTTTTAATATAGAGGGAATAATTATTATTTACTCATCATTACTGAAGATTTAAAGATGCAGCTAAATAAAAGTGTCACTCTGTGTCTGACAGTTTCTATATTTTATAAAAAGGTGAGATTTGCAGATTGTTTGAAATCAATTTTTTCTTACATTCTTTAATGTTGCTGCTCACAGCCATTTTCACACCATGGTATTTAAAATCAAAACCCCCACAAGGCTCTGTTTTCAAATCAGAGTCAATAGGGTCTGCGGGTGGGCCGCTGCCCGTTAAGGTGGTAAAAAATGTATCGTTTAACAGAAGCAGTGCTGGCAGTGAGAGACAACCAGTTTTTATCAATAACAGAGGCTGGGGACGGCTGATGTTTTGAATAGTTTGCTCCTGCTGACACATTGTGATGTTCCATCATCTGAGGGACTCAGAACAAAACAAAAAGCAGCATCAAGTCCTCGGATCCCAAGAGGACCGAGTTTGGATCTGAATAAACAAAACAGGGTTTTGATGTGGAAATCTTCTGTCGACATCAGGATGTGTGGCCACATGTGGATCAGCCAGGGACAGGGAACAACTGGTGTGNGAGCTGTGATCGGTGCTGAAAATTGCTCCTCGGAGGCTTCAGAAGTTTGTTCCAGAGACTCTGTTTATCCAGAGTGAAATCAAAGCTCTCTGATCTCCCTGATCTTTTATATTTACCCTCTTTATGTTATGAAGTGATTGTCTCGTATGGAATCAAATCTAACCCAAACACACACACTGTGTGTGTGTGTGTGTGTGTGTGTGTGTGTGTGTGTGTGTGTGTGTGAAAAGGTGAATGCAGCTGAATACTGGACAGCTTTCTGCTAATAATACAGGCCAGCAAAGTGCAACTGCAAGGGATTTTTTCATCTCCCTGCAGAGCAGAGAATGAAAGCAGTAAAGCATTGCTCTTTGTCTGCTGCAGGAGGACTAAGAGGATTGGGGAGATGGAGGGAAAAGAGGAGGATGAGAGTGAGGAGAGGAGGAGAACTGTGACAGAGGTGCAGACGCCACTCAGATCCACATCAGAGGGTTTCTATGTAAAGGAATGAGAAGGACGTCTGACATTCATGCAAACATAGATTTTTATAATTATTTCGACCTTTAGAACAAGTTTAAAATGTTTCATCTATATGTGTGCTCTTTGATCTGTGGTTAATTTAGTGTTTTATACTCAAAWCCCCCCCTCAGYGACGTCCACCCTCCTACGCTGCACACTCAGACTGAATGTCTCCTGCAGCTCTGTCCTCAGCTCTGACCCTCCATCATCAGCTGAACTTCTTTCTTTCCATCGTTTGAAATCTGATCGCCTGCTTCCAGCACAGGAAGGACCAAACAGAAAGACTATCCAGGCAATTTGAGCCAAAACACGACTGATGCTGCAAAAAAATGATCACACAGAAGCTGAAACTTTAATGTGATGATTTAATATTAATAAAGATTATTAGATTCCTTTGCTCGCCTTCTAATATTCCCTCTATTATCACACAGTTAACTACTTAATACCTCATCTGTTTCCTCTCACATTCATTCATTTTGTTCTAATCCAGAAAAAGAAGAAAAGTAAAACTTGTGAATGAAAAAGATGAATTGAACATGATTCTCTCTGATTCTGTTTTTGACTTCAAYGGTTTTATTTTTGCAGATTTTACCCTTTAAGACATCAGATTAGACTGAATGTGGACTTCCACCTGTTAACTCAGTCTGTCTGATAAAAGTCAAAATAATATCACCTCTCATTCAGTGAAATATTGTTCAGTCTGACCGCTCCAACAGGAACACAGAAACCTGTTGACAGGAAATCCTCAGGTTGTCTTCTTCTGCTCCCAGGAGCTGATTTTCTCCTCGCTTTCATTCTGTTCTTGTGTCTCTTTACTGTAACACATCTTTCTTTCATAGCCTCAAACCAAACAAGCTCAGGCCTTTCTCCTCACTGTGTAAATCCCTCCAGATGATCCCCCCCACCAGATCCTGCTGGTCTGTACTCTGTGCTGCTTTTAAAGATGAATGTTGACCTAAACTACAGCTCCTCTGAAGGTCAGTGTTTCTGAAACACTTTTTGCTTCAAACTCCTAATAACTTCACCCTCCTTTAGGACCTAGATCATCTTAGAGCTGACGTTGTCATTTTTTTATTATTCTGTATTCCCTTCTTTGCCTCCCTTTTACAACCTTATCTGCCTGTTGTCAGCTACACACAGCGCAGCCACAAGTATATCAGCTCTCACTCTGAGATTTAACAGCAGCAGCAACGTTAAGGTCAGCTCAGATGACTTTAGGAAAGGAGGTGACAGGAAACAGGCCACCAACAAGCTGTGACTGTTTGAAAACACAACCCTTAAACTGAAAAGGCCGACTGCTGAGTGAACGACAGAAAGGAAATGTGCCAGCTGTGAACTAAAAAAAAAAAAAAAAACTTGAGTGGTTTGATCTTGTTTGTCTGTCTGTGGGAAGTACTTAAGATGCTGATGTGCCTTTGTACTCATGAGACTGAGTAAACAGGATCATTTATTGTGATGCGGCTTAGCTAATCTGTGCAGGTGTACAAATTTACCCGTGAGATGAGCTCTCCAACCATCCCGGTCCACGTTCCATTCGCTCCGGGAACGCCATAAACTCCGTCGGCCACCAGTCGGATGCGATATTTAAACTTGAGGATGTCGGCCAGCTCCTTCAGCATGTCCACACAGAAACC